AGAACCAATCAATTCCTTTCTGTCCAATTCTCTGCTATGGACTGATGTTGTATACTCGTAGTTGAATGATGTGCTTGCTAAAAATTAACTGCACTTTCAAGGGTTCTGCGATTTTTTGTTTCGAAAGCAGACTGAGCTTTAACATGCTTTAACACTAGTTTCTGAAAGGTTTCCATTGGTTTCCATGGTTTCCATTTACTATACCGCTTCTTTGATAAAACAAAACTGCGTCATGTGATGTCTTCCAGCTTTCATAACAATTATTTAAAATGAGTATTATATATAAACGCTATACTATGAATTGTAAAAGAAGAGAATAATTTTGCAGAATTGGGGTTTATTTGATAGATTTTCTGGTAAATGATCAGAAGCCTCGTAGACGTACAAAGATTGTTTTTTAAGCTTTTCGTCAACGGAAATGAGTAATATGGTGATTCATATGCCACGCAGCACCAAGAAAACTAAACTTAATATATAGAATTAAAAATGCGCACAGTTACAGTTTCAACTATGGCTACAAAAAATATTTCTTGCAAGTATAACACAGAGTAATATCATTTTTGATTTTAGCGAAATATTTAAGAAATCATTGGTCGTCATATCCCTACCTAATTTCAATAAAGCGTCGTAGAAACAAGAATTTCTCATATCCAAGAAGGTTGCAATCTCATTTTTATAGTCATTTTATTTTATATTTTATATGACCCTGACATGAGCTAAACTCTGGGCATGTGTCCTGAATATCATTAGCCTTTCCTACTAGACGATCATTCAAAATTCTTTTACGTCACAGGAGCGTTTTATTCCATTCAGGCTGGCTTAGATGGCCTTGGAAATATTCATAAAAATGTGTTCCCCCATATCGCACTATACGAGTCGTTCAAAGGAAAAGTGAATAAAAAAGTTAGTTAATTATCTGTTTATTTGTTCGTGCTTTGCAGCATTGTTCTTCAGAGTAATTCTGAGAAACAGCAAATAATTCAAGTTGCCACAACTCTGAATATGGAAACCACGATTAAATACGCGATTGTTGTGATGCCGCGATAAATGGCATGTAACGGTCGTTTCACATAATTACTATTCTGTTATCTATAGGAATTAGATATTAGAATGATTTATGGTGAAAAACATTATTTGCGTACTTATCATATTCAGGTTTATGTTCAAATAAAAAGTGCGTTTTAAATATTAATACTTCTAGTATCGCAAAAAAATATGTAGCTTACTCTGTACTTGGCCATTGCATAGGTCGGAACACACGTAATTCATAACATCATACCTAGTAGAGAAATCATGAAACCGTTTTCGAAAAATTTTCCAAAAACATTTTGCATATAACATCGGCAGTAGTAATATACATAGTCATGTAGGATACGAACGAGATATGATAATGGAATATAACGATAAACGTGAAAACCACAAACCCATCTTAGAAGGTGTCGAAATAACACCCTGTACCATTTCATTTTTACTACATGTTCAGTACGTAAATAATTCGATATGAGCAACAATGTCAGGATAATATTAAAGCCTCTTACTTGATGGCGGAACGGCAACGAGTTATCCTCCTTTAGCAAGCGATAAGTGCGATATGATCGGATTGTCGGGGCCAATATCTATTTTTAGAAAAATGACTTTAGTACCTCCCATATTCAACCGACTCATAAGATGCACTACCTTAGGATTACATTAATTATCCGCAGTGGTACCAATTCATCATTATTTATTTATGATTTATCATATACTGGTCCGCTGACCCTAAGAGCGGGGTCACACAGCCCTCTGGGACACACTCCCTGATGGACACACAGTCCTCCACTTAGGCAGTTTTAAGCACGCAGCAGTCTATGTGACCAACATAGTTTTAAGCACACGGCAACATATGTATGTTGATACCCAGGCGTATAGACAGTTATGCTGAGATTAACGATTGTTACGAAAAGTAGTCCAGGATCCAGGATATCACGTTGGCCAACGGCCGTTGTGTCAATGTCCAAAGGCATTACCTCTTAATCAGAGATAACCGAGCGAGATGACAAGCTTTAGAATAACAATCCCTACACACATCCTGCCATGAGATACATTCAGATGCCAGCGATTACCAAGAGAAAGATGGTTAAGAGGTGGTTCAGACCTAGGATGCCACCTCGGCCAAAGGCTGACGTTTCCCCTAATAGAGGAAACCGAGCAGAAATTAACATAACCACCTAAACCCAGCAATATGGTGCCGAAAGTCTCATAACAATTTCCCTATCCTTATCCGCAATTATTGAGTCCGTAAGCCATTGATAGAAATATGGATATATGATCCAAGCATCTTTATAAATGTTGATATATGATCAAAGCATCTTTATAAATATAAATATATTATGCTCAAAGGATCTTTATAAATAGGGCTATACGATCAAAGCTTCTTTATAATTATGGCTTACGACATTCATGATCATGAATATAAAAGTGTTATAGTTATAAATCCATGCAGTACAGTAGAATAAAGGAAACACTCAGTGATTGCTCACCTTTCAGGTAACCAAAACACTACACCCAATAGCACATCAACACTGTAATTAGGTCCACAATGCGCACTACTTGGTCTGAGAAGCGATGGCTTTCACGCACTATTTGACCTGTGATGCGAGCCACGCCTGCATTTTGAACAAAGTTTATCCTGGGACCAAGTACTCAGAGAAGGAATGGAATGTATAACGTAAACAGGCTTAAGGGCCGCCGTGCTAACTGACACCAACCAGACTCGTGAACCTTCTCGAAAGATTTCGTGTGCTACAGGGTCGAACTCGCATGCAAAAATGTGTTTGAGATATTTCGTAAGCTCTTACAGTCATGAGGACCAAAATGCGTTTGCGGTGGTATCTGATAAATAAAAAAAAGACATCAAGTAGTTTGACTCTGCACTTCCTACGCAGCGCTGTCATCAGTTCATAAGAGGTAATTTTCGGCAAAAGTTGGTCTCACTGAGGAAAAAAATTAGCTACGAATATGTATAACAAAAAAAAATAGATCAAGTTATTCAAACTGACTCACTCGAGACAATTAAATTTTGCATATTTACAATGTTTTTTTGCAATTTTGGGGCTCTTTGCTCTCCCTCGTCCTTCAAAAAGTTGCCTATGGATGGCCCTCCCAATTCCCCTGAGAAAAATTCCTAGAGGCGCATGTGATTGAAACTAGGTATGTGTACATTAGACGTGAATGACGATCGGTTCACATCCAGTCGAACAGCGGATGCCGACTGCTACACCCATGCATCGGCAGAACCGCTAAACATATGATCGACTCACGAAGTTCGGAAATATTTCTCCACAAGTTTGATAAATCTACGGGGAAGTATTCACCCTTTTTTTTTAGATGATCAGGATTGTCTGAAATGTCAAAAAACGAAGTTTGAGCGATTTTTATTCTTTTCCCTAGCCCCACCGTCACTGGATCGATTTTTAAAAACTATAAACCTTTTTTGTCTTTGCCATAGTAGTAACCTTGTTCAAAAACCCGGTTTCGTAAAATTGTATTTCAGGCAAGGCGTTCACAGATCCAGAGTATTTGCTTAGATTATTATTTATCTGTTGCAAGCAAATTCAGTTTCATGCAACGGGTTTTCCAGTCTTAGTCTTAGTTACCTGCTAGTGGGTTATGCGGGTCCCACATGATGCTTCCAACGTTGTATATAACGTTTACAACGTTCGACACCCCACAATTGGCAAGTGTGTCTGCTACACGGTGAGATGAACTTTTTAGCCTCGTACGTTCGACGCATGGTGGTGGTCTATTTTATCGGTGTCAGTGTCGCGCTTCAGACATATCGAAAAACGAAGTAAAACTTCTTCGTTTTTTGTTTGTTTTTCGACGATGACTCCGCCGCTACTGTACCGATTTTCAAAAACTGCAGAGTTTATTCGTCATTTTCATACTGGTAACTTAGGGTCAAAGTTTCATCAAAATCCTGATAGTACTTTCAGAGTTATCGTTTATTTAATCTTTTTCGTTAGTTATGAAATGCAAGTCAATATACGAGTATTTCTCAACTAGTGTTGCATTGCAACAGGACATTATAAAAAACAACTGTAAGCACTTGATAATTTATAATTTACTAAAATACATATACTTAGGTCAGCCATAACTCACCTGCGAAACGTACAAAATATTAGCAATATGAAAAAAGCGTTGTTATGACAGCCTATGTTTTGTATGTATACTAATTTAATTCATTCTTCTCAAAGTTACTTTGGTTACATATATTATTATGAAGAGGTAGGTGTTCAAATCGAAAAGCTTCACCACAATCACAGCAGACAAGTAAACAATGTTTTTCGCCGCTACTGGTTCTAACCTAAAACCATCAAACACGTGACGTCTCGTGTGGGAGCGTAACGAACCATGCTTCCAACGTTGCAACGTCCTTTGACTCGGGTCAAATTTACCGACAAGAGCCCGCACGGGTATCATGTAAAAACCTATAAAACGTCAAAAAAACCTATAAGATGCCAACTTGTAGACTAGGTCGTTTTTAGGGCGCAAACAGTCATTCCACGTTTGCTCACTAGGATCGTTGTGAACGTCCATCTATGGAGGAATCACTCAACTAAACTACGCATTATTGGTTGCATAGTTTTGTGAGGCTGAGTGATCCGAGTCTGTAGTTTTTATCTCTGAGAAGTAAGTTGAATGGCAAGATCGCATCTGGATAATTATGTGTATTGGTCTGCATGTGTATAAAATCAGTGATATTTGCTGTGTGAGAACATCATTACTGAATATGCCGAATATGACGGGTTATTTATATGTTGTGCTTTCTGAAGAGAGGTTATGTTCAAAGTTATAAATTACGAACATCTTGTAGAATAACCTACGTGCCATGTGGCGAACGTTGGACACAGCGCTCTCCCACACGCTGTGGCGAATGGCCATGTATCCAACGTTGTAAGACATTTGCCACATCGTGTGGTAGCGACTATAGCGGTACAATAACCTAACTTTTTTTTTTATTCCAGCCGTTCGAGCGGACAGGATGCGCGGCGGCCGTAACAAATTCGGTCCGATGTACAAACGCGACCGAGCGCGGAAGCTGCAGATAATGCGACAACGGCAGCTGGCCGCACAGACTCTGCGCGGGCAGCTGGGCAGTGGGGCGGTCGCAGCTGCCGCCGCGGCGGCTGCAGCAGCGGCAGCTGCAGCTGGCGGGGGCGATGTGTACGGCGGCGGCGGAGGCGGCAGCAACGGCAACGCTGCTACAACCGGATTCACCAACATACACATCAAACAGGAGATACAGATACCGCAAGTGTCGTCGCTCACGAGCAGTCCGGACAGTAGTCCGAGTCCTATTGCTGTCGCATTGGGGCAGGTACGTATCAGTAGGGATGTGAGTATACTAGTGATACTTTGTTAGATTAAAGTCCAAAATTAAGTGTTCCATGCCCGACAATGTCACAATTTTGTTTTCCTGAGATAATCCCTATAACATTTCTTATGGAGAACCCGATATTTTGCCTTAGTATTTCATTTCACCAGGAAACAATTTAAATAATTAGTCTGATCATATTAGCAAATTTCCCCGAAATAATTGTAAAGTCTGGTTTTATTGGTGAAAGTTTGTTTAGAAGAAAAAACGTAACCAATCCTTTTTTGCATAAAAATGACATTTATCTTCCGAAATGGTTTGCGATTCATATCGGCAAGGTAAACTAGTGTATTTTGCTATAAAATGCACTTTGAACTAATCCTGAATGTTGCTCAATAAATTAGAAACCAGCGCCGGAAAACAGGTGTTTTGGGATAAACAAGTAGAAATTCTCAAAAACTACTGGACCAATCTACGCCAATTTTGTTGTGGTTATTTGGAAGTACAAATCCTACAAATTTGAATAATTTCAAATGTCTGCGAGAAACCATCGTCGCATTACCAACAAGTGCCAAAACCTGCAGTTGGCCTCAGTTTTCGGCCATAACTTTTTTGCTATTAGTCGAGTCTTTTTGCGTGTGTTATCATTTTGTAGGTCTCATAAATACCTAAAAATCTTATATGCAGAGTTTTTTCGTTCCTGCCAACACTTTCGATTGAATCCCAAAAAAACACGTTTTCTCATTCTTTGTTGTCGAATGAAAAGTTTTCCCACAAAAATTGGTGTACCCATTTTATGCGTCCATGTTTTGAATACCCCCTTGAACAACTTGCAGCAAAAGAAACCAGACTTTACAGTTATTTCGCAAACCTGAGGTATTTTCGTCTAATATGATTAGAATACATGTAAATGCTCATAAGAAACTTGAGGGAGATAAGAAATTATCGCAAAGTTTGAAGGAAATCCACCATCCTGATTTTGAAATTTTTGGCACAAAAGTTGATGAACCCATTTCCGTCTTGTTGATGTTTTACCATATTATTACATCTCATAAGGAATACTGTCTGATTTCGTCAAAATAGCTTCATATGGAACTTTCAAAATAATCTATAAAAAACTGGATAAATTCTGCTAACCTATGTATCGTTACATGTATAGTATCATCAGTTTTTGTATCTTGACAACTTTCAAATTTTAATTGGATTCCTTATTTTACCCAGCATTGAATTAATATTTAAGTGCTGGGTATCCGAAATGTGAATACTCAACAATATGCATTTTGAGACCGTCTACTTACGATGTTGTCAATTTTTAAACTGGAGTGTTGAAAAATACACATAAGTGTAAGTTCATAATCCCGCAATCGTGGTACGTCTAGAAAATTTTCTACCCGAACATTTGTTGTTGTTGTCGAGATTTGAGGAAAAAAGTAGATTAACTCGATATTTTTGACATGTCTTTTCGATGTTCTCATATTGGAAACCCCTCGTATGCAAATACTCTTGAACTATACTGTTCCTACGAGAAAACAAAAATATATCCGAATTTTTGAAATTGCAGTGTGAAATCCGTAGCAGAAAACAATTGGAAGGTGGCTTTCTTTGTATAAAGAGGGTTTCAAAAATCATCCCAATAGTACTCCAGTACTCTAAATCACAAAAGATGAAGCTAATTTCGGAAATTGAGCGTATTGAAAAATACCTTTAATATGCCAAGTAAAACTGTCGGGAAATAAGAATGCTTATTTATTTTGGACCAGTCAAACTGTGTATACATGCATTGATTAACATATTCTACCTGAAGGTAGCCAACCTAATGCTATATTCGCGCATCCAAAAAAATATCCCAGATACAATCTCTTTTCTGCATAAGTCAAATTTTTCGACTCATTACATTTTCAAGTTTGATTGTCTGGCCGCCAAATGAAACAGGGTAAATTTCAGGTATTATATTTATGCTTTTTTCGTATATAATTTCACTGAACTGTTCTTATACCATCCTCAAAACAAATAGGTAAAAATGTCATGTCAAGTCTAAACAAATTACTGCATTTTTAATTGCCACAAAAATTATACACCGTAGCGTTATCTATGAGAACTTGACGCATCTGTCTCTCTATTTGTTATATACTTTGGAAAGGTTAATGTCTCATATATGGCGTAGTCACCTAGATTCTTGTAACTGCTCATATATTCAACGTATAGGTCGAACAATAGTAAGCATGTTTTTTGGTAAGATATTTTGCAGAGCTTTAAGATAACCGAGATATTTGGATCCAAAAAACAATAACTCCTCCCACAATCCCATCCTGCGTCAAAACGTATGATGTACTAAGACTATGTGAGTCAGTATTCAAATCAGACGTCGCCTGGTATCTAGGTTAGCCTAGTCTATAATCAAACCGCATTTGAAAACCGAAATTGGCACATTTTTTCAGCAATAATATAGTTAGATCCTATTGATACTCCGCGAGTGTACTCAGAACTTCGCGGTCGTCCTCGATGTTTCTCTCCATCAGAGCTGCATATGTTTGCTTATATCGTACAAAAGCCTGGTCTGGTTGAGCACAGTTGAAGACCTAGACAGCCCCATATATTGCAAATTTAGAAAGAGGTAAACAAACTCGTGTTTTTGGATAAAACTGCGACAAGTGTTTACAAGCAAAATATGTTATAGGGCAGTACTTGAAATTAATTTCCAAATGAATAGTTTTCGGTGTTGTTTCGAGGTATATATATATATTGCGAAACAGCTGCGACAAATTCTTATGACGTTACGGTATCACATTTTATCTCGGATAATTTTTTGGACGCGCGAATATAGCGTTAGGTTTGGTAGAATTCGTTAATCAATTATTCATATTTCGACTACCTTGTACATGTTGATATAAGAAATATGGTCCGCCCGTGTGTTGCAGTGTATCGAGTACATGACAGTAGCGCCCTCATTGCATATGTTCCAGGCTGGGCTGATGAGCGGCACTAGCGCTGGTACAGGCAACGCCCACCAGGGGGCGCATCATCAGCCGGCGCTACAGATCGTGGGGGTGCAAGCGGGCGCAGGCGCCGGTGTGGCCCCTAGTGGAGCAGGGGGGCCGTCGCCGATGTTATTGGGGGCCGCTGGAACGGCCGGAGCGGATACCAAGTTATGGGCGGCCAACTCTACTACAACGTCGCCGCATTCGCTCAGTCCTAAGGTCAGTATACGTCGGGGTTGGTGGCGGGCAGGGTTGCGACGATTTAAATAAAATGATTTAAATCATGATTTTTCCAATTTTAATGGTGATTTAAATCGAATTATAAAAACAAGTCGCCGAAGCAAATAACTGAAATAAAACATCAGGAAATTAAAAAAAAGATGGTTTATTTAAAACCAAGTCTTTACATACATTATGTAAGTCTAGTCCAGAACAAGTACTAGCACTCAGCGCAGGAATATCGCACGCCCTCGTGCTGGGATGTCAGCTCTCAACAGGGTCACATTTTACAGCTTTTACTTGTGGTTTTGCAACCAACCATTTTTTGTACAGCCAGTTTTCTCGTGGTTTTCTCTTATCCGAAAATTTACATTAACAGCACGGAAAAAGTGAAAAATGAAATAAAATACTGTCTTATGTTAATAGATCACACACTTTGTATAGTATATGGTTGCTATGATTTCGTGACCCAAGCCTTGACTATGCTGAGAGGATTTCAGAAAGCACGAAACACCTTTCCATGGTTGGCTGTCTTTGGTCGAACTGTCGAAAGCATTTTTATTTCATTAAATGAAAATCCTCTACAAGTGAGCAAAAATCTTAGGTCCCTCGATCTATACAGGGTGTCCCAGAAATAACACGCCAGACTGACATGGGAGGTAGATTGCCTCCAAATCAATTAGATAAAATCAACATGGCCTTAGTAAAAGTTTTCTAGTTTTCGATATATTGCCACTCTTAGGTTTTTGCAAAAAAATCACTATTTTTGCCTGTTATGCCTATTAAGAACTTCTAACTTATGAGTTTTTTCCTTTTCAATTTTCAGTAGAACTAACCTACAAATGTTATACTGTTTTTAAAAGAGCATTACATAGGCTAGTTTGTTAGATCATTTGCCGATTCAGTCTGGTAATATTTTTTTCACAGTAATTAGTCAAACTTTAGTAAAGATTTTGACACTGAAATAAAATTTATTATTTTTTTTTAGCGTACCGTGCTAGTTTTCAATGAAACAAATTCTGGGTGGTCTCAACCAACTATTAGTGGTAGGACAGGAAAAAACTCATAACTTAGAAGTTCTTAATAGCCATAACAGGCAAAAAAAGGAGCAAAAAGTAGGGATTTTTTGAAAAAGTGCCAATATCTCGAAAACTATAAAACTTTTATTAAGGTTATGTTAATTCTATCTGATTGACCTTCAGCCAATCTACCTCCCGTGTCACTCTGGCGTGTTATTTCTGCGACACCTTGTATATTTTTTACTGTAATTTGAAATGCTGATTATTTTCACGCTTCGTAAATGTAAATGAATAAGTCTTTTTAATAATTGCATAATTCAATTCACCGCAGTTAATGAGGAGGGGACTCCAACATAAATTGATAACATCCGTACCCAAAATAAAGGGATGCGCTGCCATTGTTTCATGGTGTTGCAAACACTATTCTTTTTTGTTCTACTCTATAAAGCTTGGCTTGTCTTCACTCCCGCTCTGAGAATTATCTTCCTGCTTCTAATCTTATTGCTTTGAATATTTATAGCCAAAATGCTATCAACAACATAATATTTGACACTATTTACATGCAACCGCATCAAAGTTCATCACGATGTTGAAAGGTCAATCGCTACCCTCAGTTTTTTATATATTTTTCCCCAGTAAAATTATGAAAAAGAACGTAATTGCTGCACATCATTTAGTCATATTAAACGACATAAATACTTTTTTCCGCATTCTTTTCATCAACACAGATTTCCTGGGCGAACTGTATTTATTGTTATACCTGTTTAGTTATTTGTTGCTAAGGGGATGAAAGGATTTAATTTGCTGTCAGTTACCTTTGTGACAATCTTGGGATAGTAAGAATTTATTTATTGATTCAGATTTTATTTCCAAAATGGCTTACACACTAGCCGACAGTGTGGAAATGATTCTAATTTATGGTGCCGAAAATCAATGTGACTCCCGTCACGTCTAACGGCAGACATCCGGGGAAGATAACTTCGAATAGGTATGTTTTGGACCTTGTTATTAAATTTACTCAAACTGGACCTGTTGCAAATAAAAAAACGTGAAATCCCACATCATGTTTTTGAAAATGGGGATTTTCCTGGGGGGCAGAAGGTGAAGTAGCTTTTGGTTAAAAAGTTGTCCCCCTTGACAAATTTGTTGACGTGTCTCGGCGTTTTTTCTTTTAATCAGTGGTTTTCGATAAATCCATTATGGGAAGTTTTCAAATGAACACCTTGTATAGTAAATAGAGAAACAGTTGTGACAAATTCTCATCGATAACGCTGCAGTATCTCATTTAATATAATTCAAGTAGAATACGTAACCAATGCTTCTGGAGAGAGACCAGACAATGGGTCAATGTGGCCTAAGCGCTGTGATGTTCTACTAACACAAAACACACTTCACTAAAATATACAAAATAAAAAAATTACACCGAAATTTTGCTGGCTCGGGCACAGGTTTTTGAACTGAGCAATATTGATGTGCCAATTCCTAACAACACTTCCGATACATTTGAACCAAAATTGACACTATAACTTAGCTCGTCCATCCTGTTATAGATGCCCTTTCTAGACTATCAGGCCATATAAGCTTTTTTCCTGTGCCACAGAGTTGCGTCTCCAAAAAATTTCAATGAGGCCTCTAACTAACGAACCTCAATACTTGTCTAAACTTAATCCGGTTGCAAATCGTTCCAGGTGTTCCAGTTCGAGTCGAGTGTACCAGGTGGCCCTGCGGCGTCAAACGTTGGTTCGAAGGTATCCCCCCTGATCAGGGACTTCATCCAGGGCATCGACGATCGGGAGTGGCAGAACTCCCTCTACGGCCTCCTACAGAACCAGACGTATAATCAGTGCGAGGTGGACTTGTTCGAACTTATGTGTAAAGTGTTAGACCAGAACCTCTTCTCGCAAGTTGACTGGGCGAGAAACTCGATATTCTTTAAGGATCTCAAGGTAAGGACATTTGCAATTTAACTTCAGTAGATGATCCTAATTTCATTTTAATGGATGAAGAAGTTACTAAAGAGTAGAGGAAGGTGTTGTAGGCACAACATAAGTTCATCCAATTTATATGTAATATTTGGTAAACCTTAGTCATATGAATGATGGTGTTATGTGACACACATAAACCCTTCATCCAATCATGGGCCATTTTGTTTTACTTCTTTAGTCGGTATTGTGTGGGCATGTTCTGTTTGTATTTTACAGTAATATTGTAATATTAATGCAAGTTAACATTCAAAATGAGCTCCAGGGGTCAACAAACGCTAAAGCTAGTGCAGGAACAAAAAAGCTGTGAAGACACAATATGTCAGTTAGCAATACAAAATAAGTTATTTCTGATCCTACACACCTAGCATGCTGCTCAGAAAAAAATGGCCAAGACAAAAGTATAGCAGGATTAAATTTTGTGTGGCCTGTGATAACACTACAAAGAACCTCCATCTATGGAATGGTAGCCAAACTGAACGAATTGCGCTTTCTTTGTCCCGTTGAAAATGCACAGAATTAGCTTAAAATCATTTAAGAAAAGCATACGGACAAAAATATTTTTTATTCGGCGACTCTCCAATAGATGGCGCTGCATGTGGGTAGTCACCACAAAGTCCACCGCTTTCAATGACTAACTTGGGCTGCTGAAATTCGTTCAGTAAATCCCAATGCATGCAAGAAGGAGGATGCTTTGTTTTTCAACAAAGCCAAATCAATAAGTAATATTAGATACAGCAAACTAATCCAAACAAAATTATCTTTTCATCAGAAAATGGAGGGTTGTTTAAGCCCCCTCATGAAAATTTAAGTTTCTTGATCTTCGGAGGTGCGTTGCCATAGAAGAGAAAAGAGCAAATCTCCAAGAACAGCTTAAGTATGTGAAACCAGAATATCGATACTTCTATGATTCAAAAATAATTTGTCATTAAATTGTTACCTTATAATAGGCAAAAATAATTTGTTGTTGTTTCACGTTTTGTTAGCTGATTAGGTATGATTTTCTTTAATACAGCACTCTTCCATAAAAGCGTTGCTTTAATTTATGTAGAATTTTGCAGTGGATGAAGGTGTTGTGTACTGTTTTTTTTTTAAATTATGTAGACATAATATTTTTTTGTTGATAATTTTTTTGTAAATAAAATATTCCATATATTAGTAACGAAAACAAGAATTTTCTATCTAATAAAAGTACATGTGAGAAAAGTTTACAATGAAAAACTTTAAACCTAATTTTATCGAAATCTGATTTTTGCACCTTCATCCACTTGTGTCTTCAATTGATTTACAATGTGATTATCTTTTGCTCGTGCTCAATTACGACTGCTACAAAAATTCAAAGGCGATTTTTTTGACTATTAGGGGTCAAATTTATAGACGTTCCATGAAGATTGAGTTGCGTTTGAGAAATGATCCCTCTTTGTATGTTGAACATGTAATAATGGGAACGTTCAAGGGATAATTTAACATTTGCATTTCACAGTTGGCTGTAACGATTGTCATCACAAGTTTCCAAAATTTTAGAAATTGCACGATTTTTGAGATCTTTTAAATCTTCAAAATTACCTAAATTGTTTTTTAGATTCCCAGAGATCTCTGTTTTCGAGATTTCCTAGTTTTCAAAATTTTTTGAAATTCAGAACTTCTGAAAGGCCTGAAAATTTCGAAAATTATTAAGATTTCGAAAATGTTTAAAATATTGGAAATTTTAAATGTTCTGAAAATATGAAGATTCCGAAAGTTCCGCGAGTTATAAAAACCTTTTACATCCTACTCTGAAATGCAAATGGTAAATCCTCTCTTAAACATCCCTCAAGTTATCGTTATCGTTTGTTTAAAATCCAGGAAGAAATACATAGATCCTCAAAGTTTTAACGATGTTAGAAAGATTGCTTACAGGGCTAACAAATATTTGGAAACGGCGGTTTTTATCATGGACAACACAAATGGTTTTAGAGGACTAAAGCAGATGTATGGACAATACGAAACATACAGTAACAGTGTTTTTTTACTTCAAAAGGGCGGAGACTATTGACAGTGATAAATTACTTACAAAATTGCATCACTACGGACTTAAAGGATGTGTATTCAAAATTCTAAAAAATTATTTAACTGACAGAAGTCAAAAAACCAAAATTGGATATACATTATCAAACTCAAAAAATATATCTGTTGGTATACCACAAGATAGTAAACTAGGTCCAAACTATTTATTTTATACATTAATGACATTTGTAATATTTTAGATATTTGCAGATGATACATTAATCAGATGAAAATATATACACTGCTTTAAAAATGCTAAATTCTGACTTGGTAAAAATCATAAATTGGTTAAATGTAAATAAACTAAAATTGAATACTTCTAAAACAAAATGTATGGCTAATAGGGAAATACCTAAATAAAAATAGTATCACAGTTAGGATAAATGGTGAAATAATTGAAAATGTTGAATCAATTGAATATTTAGGTATATATGATAGTAAAGTTTGAGGATCACTATGAATACATTATTTCAAAAATTGCCATAAAAACAAATTACTTTTATAGGGATTCTCATAGTCTTGGTACATATTCCAAGAAAATAGTTTATAATTGATTCTACCGCATTTATTATATTGTTCAACTATCATCTTTTGCCACAACATTTAGAACACTACATAGAATTGAACAAGAGGAAATACAGATTTTTATTTACAAAATTGCAATAGTAATATAACTAGCAAATCAATATTTCAGAAAGAAATTACTTGAATTTAATAAACTAAATAATGATATGAAGTCTACTTGTAATTTAAAGATGAAACATAAAGGAATATTTTATGGACAGTGAAAATTCTTAGAGATGCAAATTTTCTTTTGTTCTAAATATCTGTATGCTATGTAATTGTTCAATTTTTAGAAGAATGTAATTGTAGCAATCCTGCTAAATAAATCTTAAACAAACAAACCCATAAAACAGATTAAAAAACCATGTAGAGATGACATTTTATAAAAACTTATAAAGATGTCATATATACAATATCTTGTTCTCTATTCCTTTTCTGTATAAAAACTCAAGATAACAAATTAATATATTACTGATGCTCAAAGGTATTATTTAAAATCAATTTGTTTCGAGAAAAAAGAAGACAAATCCATTTATTTGGAGCTTCCATGCTTACTATTACTGTTGATTCACAGTATGTTTTTAATTAGAATTCTAAACATCTTATAGACCGCAGTAATATTCACTGATGAACTGATAGCAAGGCGTTCTCCTTTTTAACAACATTTATGTGACGCCACTGTTTCGCATTGTTTCCGCTCATCTGAATCGGGTGTGAAAGAGCACAATTATCCTCAACCATGTACAAATGAATAAAAACACGACTATTACCACACGTACAACACGCAGACATTGTATAAAAAAAGTTTTGAGGTCAAGTATAGCCACGGCCCTTCCATGTTCCATGGCCGACCGAAAAAAACCTCTAAATAAAATGCCCGACAGACAAAAACCATCGAACACGAAAAAGAAATGGTGGGGGTTTGGGTGTCCCAGATCGGTGCGTTGCTCTTGCAACATCACAACTTAAACAAAATCACATGCAGATTTCATTATCTGTGCCAAGAACGGACACCGTATCATAAAATACTGCGTTGTATGAGTTACAAAATATCGGTTACTGTTTCTTTTTGTTCAATTTTGAAATAGAGGGTGTGAAATTTGGTAACGGGTTATTGTTAACAAAAAATGTCAGTTTGAAGTTCCGAGGATGTGATTGCCAGCGACTTGATTTATCATCTCTAAGTTGAAAAAAGCTTTTGCTCGACATGATTCCAAACGTCCTCTTTTTGTTAACTGCCTCTATCGTACACCTCTAGTGTACAACTGGACAAACCGTAACGCCTACTTCTGCCAAGATTATTTTGAATAACACCCAGCCCTCTTCGGAGATAATCCTCCTCGGCGATTTTCAAATCCTTTATGTGCCTACATACCAGAAGTATTCCTTCGTGTGGGACTCTCATTTATACGCTAATTTCTTTATTTTCTTATTATTTCATACTGTAATGAATTGTGCGAATCAATTATAACGATATTTGGGACTGGTATTTTTTCAACCTCAGTGGAACTTCTAGAATTTATTCTATTATTATTGCTCCTATCTCGTCAATGCCAGCTTGAAAAAAAACATTTTATTGTGTGAGAAGAAAATAAGTACGTGGCATTTATAATTAACTAGTGTAATAATGTTAAAGATTAAAACATAAAAAACTTCATTGCTCTGTTAACCGAAAAAAAAAAAAACATTATGAGGGACCCCGAGACATATCCCAGTCCATTCCACACAAAACAATGTGGCCTGATAGCGAAACGAACATGAGACCGAAAAAATCACCTTATCGTATGGACGCCAGACGAGACAAAGAAGAATGTCTATAGACCATCTATAGATCGTGTCTTGAGACCGTCTCCAGACTGCCTAGAGACATGTTGCGCAACGGGGTCTACTAGTGTGTACTAAGCTTTTAATGATCAAGATTCTGAACTGTCCATTAAACAAATCAAGTAATTGGTGCAAATACTGACACAATCAAGCACGTTTATTATATCAGCAGGTGATGAAAATATCAATAGGCAAGGTCAATTATTTTTTGAAATTCAATATAGATGTTATAGGTATTCTTCAGACTTTCGTTGTCGGACTTAGATTTACGGAATAGTTGTTGTTTTCTCAAAATATTGAATATCTTTGGAAAAACTATTATGTGTTAGATCGTAATTATTTTGATAAAGTATGTTTGTACGAAACAAGAACATATTAACGTGAGGTGCAGAAGCTCTGTGATTTAAACGAGTTCAATATAGCAACATAAATAGACACATGCGCGGGAAGAGATGCGGGACGTGTGGTATTGACTTTGAGCATCGATGGACGCATTTTCTGGACAGGCCACAGGCGCATCGCTAAACAAA